CGGGTCTTCACCACATCTCCCTCGATATGGATGATCCTTGGCTAGTTGGGGGAGACTTTAATGTTATTACACATGATGGAGAGTGTACTAGTCATAATACCCGTGATCGTGGCACTACTGCTTTCTCTGATATGATGTTAGACTATGGTTTAGAGGATGTGGGTTTCATTGGAAATTGATATACTTGGACCAATGGTCAGGTCAGAAAGAGATTGGATAGGGTACTTATTAATTCTACAGCTGCAGCTTTTTGTCGACAGCTTACAGTGAGATACTTGAATCGGACTTCATCTGATCACTCTCCTTTACTGCTTCAGTGGGTTTTTGATGATGATTTGGGGCCTAGACCGTTCAGATTTCTCAATGTTTGGACCAAGTACCATGATTTTTTAGCCTTTGTCTCCCAGAAGTGGTCGTTCCCTACTCATCTCACAGGGATGACCACTCTTTGGGAGAAGTTCTTCAGGCTGAAACAGGGTCTACGTTGGTGGAACCGACATGTATTTGGAGATATTTTTCAGTGGGTGCACGATGCTGAGGTTGGGATTGATGAGGCTGAGATAAAATATGATAGAGATCCCATACCGGAGCATCGTAACTTACTACATCATACCCAGGCAGTTTTGAACCGGACCTTATCTATTGAAGAGGGCTTTTGGAAGCAAAAGGCCGGTTCACGTTGGGTATGTGAGGGTGATCACAATACTCGATATTTTCATGCGATGGTTCAAGGGTGCAGGATCAAATCGCGTATTAGGTCTATCAGGACACAGGCGGGGAAAGTTTTATCTACTCCGATTGATATTCAGACTTTGGCTATTGCATTCTACCAGGATCTCTTATCTGCTCCTCCACAGCCCTTGGATCACATCCTTTCTGATGTAATTCCCAGGCTCTTGACGGTGGACGATAATTTGGCACTAAACTGCCCCCTTGATGTATGAGGTACGAGAGGTGATTTTTAATATTGATGCTGACAGTGTCACTGGCCTAGATGGCTTCTCATCTCTATTTTTCCAACATTATTGGGATATTATTCAGGAGGATGCTTACAGGGCAGTATTGGATTTCTTTGATGGAGGTTATTTTCCACGGGGTTTTACTGCTACTTCTATTGTCTTGCTCCCTAAAAAGGATGGTGCTTGTAGATGGACTGACTTCAGACCTATCAGCTTATGCATGGTGTTCAATAAGATTATTACAAAGATTTTGAACACTCGGTTAAGTACTCTGCTACCCCACATTATCTCCCCTCCACAGAGTGGTTTCATACCAAGTCGTCTGATTGGAGACAATGTGTTACTGGCTCAGGAGCTTCTTTACACTTTGGATGATAGAGTACGAGGGGGTAATACTATGCTAAAGTTAGACATGGCTAAAGCATATGATCGCATGGATTGGGGTTTCATTTATTCTGTATTGGAGGCTTTTGGATTTGATTAGATCTGGATTGACAGGATTAGACGATGCATTTCGGAGTGTCGTTTCTCTATACTTCTAAATGGCTGTCCATATGGTTTCTTTACTTCCTGACGAGGACTCAGACAGGGTGATCCTACTTCTCCATCCTTATTCATCATAGCGGCAGACTACTTCTCACGCCTTCTCACTCAGAGGTTTCAGGAGTATCCTAGTATGTGCTATCGACACGAGGTAGTACTCTTGTTTCCCATCTCTCATATGCTGATGATATGATCATTTTTGCCAACGGTTAGAAACAGTCTATCAGGAGGGTCCTAGACTGCTTGGAGCACTACGAAGGGATTTCTGGCTAGTTGGTCAATAGAGACAAGAGTGGTCTAATACTATCCAGACGGGCATCCACTAGTCAGATCAAACGACTGGAGAATTTGACTGGGCTTAGACATCAGCAGCAGCCTTTTACTTACTTGGGAATCCCACTATTTAAGGGGACTAAAAGGAGCTTTCTTTATGATGACCTTATCTAGAAGGTCACGGACAGGATCTCAGGTTGGGCTTCACAATTAATATCACCTGGGAGTCGTATTACCTTACTGAGGTCAGTACTCTCCTCCATACTATTACATCTTCTTCAGATTATGCAATAGCCGAAGGTAGTACTGAAGAAGCTTGAGAGCATCTTTGCCAGATTTCTATGGGATTCTAAGGATCAAGTTCGATGCCTACATTGGAGGAGTTGGAAGGAGATTTGCCTTCCAGCAGATGAGGGAGGCCTCGGCTTCAGGAGATTACAAGATGTGGTGGACACCTTCTCCATGAAGCTCTAGTGGTTGTTTCGATCTCAGAGGTCACTTTGGGCTCAGGTTTTATTGGGCAAGTATTGTATGGGAACACATCCTTCACTTACAGTAGTTCCCAGTTCAGCTTCCCCTACTTGGAAGAGGCTGAAATTAGTTGGACCACAGACAGATCCACACATTGCCTGGCATCTTGGAGCCAGCAAGATTTTCTTCTGGTACGATTGTTGGATAGGCAAGACCACGTTGGCATCCCTATTCCCACACAGACAGCACATATCTGCGAGGCTACAGGATTTCTTTGATGACACTGGGTGGGATTTTGGGCGATTATTGCAAACTCTTCCTCCCTAAATGGCGGAACAAATAGGAGCGATACCTCTATGTGCAGATGCCCCAGACCGAATTGTTTGTAGGATTACATCGAATGGTAACATTACCACCAAACCATCATGGCAGCTTGTCCGTTCAGTTCGCTGCCTCAAGATTCATATCGATCACTGCATCACCAAAGGCGGAGGACCATGGACGATTCAGGGTATTCTTAGATAGATCAGAGACTTTATTTGCTTTGACAGAGACACAGTTTCTCACATCTACAGAGAAGGTAACTAGGTTGCAGATTCATTTGCTTTAGAGGGTTGGGATCACCAGCATTACCAAGAATATAGACCACTTGACCTGCCTCGACAGATTAGGGCATTGGTGCAAATCGACAAACATGGATTGCCCAGCTTTAGAGGTTTGTAGTTTAGGCTATCATTATTTCATTTTTCTTGTACAAGGGAGTAGTACTTCCTCATTTACTTTGTTCATTTTTAATTTTTCATTTGTTACACTGTTGTTCTTTGGAGGTCGGGTTTATGCCCCCCTCCTTCCCTGTATTCTTGATTTTTATGAAATAAACATGGTTGGGGAACCCTTAACCCCCATCGACCTTCCTTGGTGGACCCTAAAAAGTCATTAAGGATGTGTGGATGTCTTTACTTAAAAAAAAAAAAAAACCCCAAGCCCTAAACCGTAAACCCTAAGCCCTAGACCCTGGACCCTGAGCCTTAAACCCTACACCCTGAACCCTGGACCTCTCGTACATCTGCAACAGCTCCATATGCAACAATGGAAGGCTATTGAAATAATTGGAACCTCCAGGAATTCTTGGCAGAACATGAACCTACATCAATGTCTGACTTCACTGACTTGCCAGATGAAATACTAATCGACATTCGTCGGAAACTGTGTGCTGCAGCCAAACATTTCATCTTATTTCCAGGGTTTTTCTAGTGCGTCAAGCACTATCACGTATTTCCTAAGCAAACTATATTACTTCCAGAGTGAGGGTGCCATTGTTGGATATGTTGCGCTGGTGGAGTATGATGTGAAAAACCTGGGGATACTGCTTGATACAACTGTTAGTAGGGATGCTAAAATTGTCCAAGTGCTTTGGACTAGTCCAGTGATAATGTAAATGTCCAAAGAAGAAGAAGACTCAGAATAGAAGAAATTGGAAAAGTTGGAGGAGGAGGGATTATTATTCTCATGAATTGTTTTTATTAAATCGTTTTGCAGTCCGTAGCATGTTTTCTGGCTAGAGCTGGTATTAGCACAGAAAGTGGAATTCCTTAATATAGAAGTTCACTTTTCTCAGCTTAAAAAGATCAATAAGTGTAGCATAAATGCTACAGTTTCACGTTCAAAATGTTGCTCTCTACCTTTTTTGACATGAACCTCACAAAAAAGCGTTAATGAATTTTTGTTGATTGTCTTGTCAAAAAAAAAACCCTGAACCCTGGACCCTAAACCCTGAAACCTAAACCATTCTATTCTATTGTCTATAAAATTACTAAAATTTTATTTGAAAATCTGTCGGTTTTTTGCCTAAAATGGCTTCATTCAAAAATATTTTCTTATTTTCGGCCTTCGTGTTTTTGCTTTGTGTTCTTTCTGAAGCAAGAGAGTTCGTAGTAGGCAATGAAAATAATTACGGGCAGTTCCATCTTCAGTTGATAAGTTCAACAAATGGGCTAAGAAAACTCCTTTTCAGAAAAAATCAAGTCCATTTTTCTTCATCAGTGGAGCTAAAGAACATTGCCAGAAGGGTCAAAAGCTAAAAGTTATGGTTCAGTCTGACAAACATGGCTCCAACCACCAATCTACAGCGCAGGCACCTTTTCCTTATCATCATCGTCACCACTAGCATGCACCATCTCCAGCCCTAACTAATGGTGGTACTAGTGTGAAGGCGGCGGTGGGCTTTATTTGTGGTACTGCGACGGTGGGAAGTTTGGTTTTGTTATGTAGACTAGTTTTATTATTCATGAGTTGTAACATTGAGATACAATTTATTTTCATTATTCTTTGTCCCGTTTATATTTCATGCTTTTAATTCTAACTTAATTAAAAAAATAAACCCTAAACCCTAAAACGTATGATCCAAAAATTGCCAAGAAATCAGGCTGCGTCCATGCTGTGGCCATGACACGTCCCGAATTTGGCCTGGACACCGATTCCCAGAAATTGCCTAGAAATGTCGAAAAATCAGGCTGCATATCTGTCGCGTCCAGGATGGGTCCCGGACTTGGCCTGCACATCGTGCCCACAAACTGCCTAGAAATGTCGAAAAATTGGGCTATGTCCCTATCTGGCCAGGACTCGTCCCTGACATGGCTTGTACACCGTGCCCAAAAATTGCTCGAAATTACTTGAAAATCAGGCTCTGTCCTTACCATGGCCCGGACGTGTCTCTGACATGGCTTGTACACCATGTCCAAAAACTGCCCGAAATTACTTGAAAACCAGGCTCTGCCCCTGCCGTGGCCCGGACGTGTCCCTGACATGACCTACACACCGTGACCCAAAAATTGATGAGAAATGCCTAAAAATTAGGCTGCTTCTAGGACATGGCCTACACACCGGGCCCGAAAAATTCCCAGAAATGTCTGAAAGTCAGACTATGTCCTTGCTGTAGCCATGTATTGTCCCGAATTTGGCCTGCACACTGTGTCCCAAAAACTACCCAAAATGCCTAGGAATGTGCCTGCATCCCTGACATGGCCTACACACCGTACTTGCTTTTTTTGGTTGAAAATCAGCTTGTTTCCCTAACGTGGACGGGATGCATCCCGAACATTGCCTGCACACCATGCCCACAAACTACCTAGAAATGCCTGAAAATCAGGCTACATCCCTGTCGTGGCCAGGACGCATCATGGACATGGCCTACACACCGTGCCCCAGAAACTACCTTGAAATGCCTAGAAATCAGGCTGCATCCCTGTCGTGGTCAGGACGTACCCTGGACAAGGCCTGCACACCGTACCTAAAAACCACCCAGAAATGCCTGAAAATCAACTTGCATCCCTGCCATGGTTCGGACGCGTCCCGAACAAGGCCTGTACACTGTGTCCCAAAAACTGCCAGAAATGCCTGAAAGTATGGCTGCATCCTGGACATGTCCTGCACACCGTGCCCACAAACTGCCTAGAAATGCCTGAAAATCAAGTTGCATCTCTACTGTGGCCAGGACGTGCCTCGAATATGGCCTGCAGGCCGTGTCCCCGCAACTACCTAGAAATACCTGAAATCTAACTGCGTCCTTGCCTCTTCCTCGACATAGCCTACCCACCGTATCCTAGAAACTACCTAGAAATGCCTTGAAATTAGGCTATATCCCTGCTGCGGCCAGGACGCATCCCGAACATGGCCTGCACACCGTGCCTAGAAAACTGCCTACCTGCCATGGCCCAAACGCTTCCCAAACATGGCCTGCACACCGTGTCCCAAAAATTGCCTAGAAATGCCTGAAAGTTGGGCTGCACCCTAGACATGTCCTGTACACCATGCCCACAAACTGCCTAGAAATGCTTGAATATCAGGCTGTATCCCTGCCGTGGCCAGAATGCGTCATGGACATGGCCTGCACACCATGTCCCAGAAACTACCTAGAAATATCGAAAAATCAGGCTACATCCCTATCGTAGCGAGGATGCATCTCGGATGTGGCCCGCACACTGTGTCCCAAAAGTAGCCCTGAAATGCTTGGGAACATGCCTGCATCCCTGACATGGCCTGACACCGTGCTGCCTTCGTGTGCCAGAAAATCAACATGCGTCCCTGACATGGCCTGCACACCATGTCCAGAAATTGACTAGAAATGAATGAAAATTAGGCTGCATCTCTGGCGCGACCAGGATGCTTGTAGAACCCCAAATAATTCTAGACACCTTATGTTGGAAAAATTGGTTTTAATTAGTTAGTTTGACCAACTTTTGACCAATTAATTTAGTGGGTCCCGTTAATCGAAAAAAATTTCTTTGGCCAAATGTGTTCTACTCGATGAGTAGATTAATATGGTATATTTATTTTCTCAAAACCAATTTAGGGTGAATGAGAAATTAAGGCCAAAAGATGCCCACTTGATGTTGAAATAAAATAGATGGGAAATTGGAAAATACCAATCCCACATAGGAAAACTAGAAGAATATAAACCACCTTATATAGCTCAAGTTTGGGACTTGGGTTTGGGCCCCAAAGGGTACCAATAGTCTTTGGGGGGGGGGAGAGAACCTACATGCTAGTAGGTTAAGCCAAAGCCCACGTGCGCGCGTTGCCGTCGCCGTCCGTCCGTCCGACCGGCCGGCTCGACTCGGCACGGCACGGTCATGGTCACGGGTCGTAGGTCGTAGGTCTTGGGCTTGGGCCAAGCTGATATATATTTTTTAGTAAAATAACATTTAATTATATTATTTTATTATTATTTTAATAATATATTTTATGTTATTAATTTTTTTTCTTCCCCGAATTTTCTGTGTGTGACACGTGGTACGGTACTTCTAGAATTTAGTAGGTTGTGGCGGTTGACTGTCCAGAAAAAAGTTAGAGGACTTATATTTGCTTAAGTCTACTCCGAATGAGTTGGAGTTGTTTGAATGATTTTTCAACCTTAAAATGGATTCTTCAAAGAATCTTGATGACAATTTGAATGTTTTCAACAAGTTTGTTGAAGAAATCGTTAATTGTGATGTATGAAACGTATAAGGCCATTATTTTGCTTAACTCAATGCCTGCTTCATATAGAGAGGTTAAGAATGCAATTAAGTATGGTATAGACACCTTAACACTCGAGATTGTCATAGATTTCCTTAAAAGTAAGGAAATGGAGATCAATGTTGAAAAGGAAGATAAGAGGAGATAAAGAGTAGAACGAAGTCTAAGAAGATGAATTTGGGCAGAGCTCAAAACAGTAGAGATTCAAGTAGTGACTCGAGTGTTGAGGGTGGTAAGAAAAGGGTAAATGACAAGACAAATTTAGTGGTAGATGGTGTTATAGATGTGGCAAGGCTGGACATTTTATTAAG